ACCAAATCTCTTTATGGCGGAAATCAAAGGGTTCCGACAAATTGGCAACTTCAAGTCCGTACCCCAACATCCCTTTACTATCACGCAANGGGGGGGGGGGGGGGGTCGCTGGACGGCGCGGCGCGTCGTCGACTGTCACTCCAAAGTCGGCCTAGAAGATTGATGGTCTTCCTTGCATTTCCCAACCCCCGCCAACCCCCGGGACGGAGGAGCTGGGGGTGGTTGATCAGAAACGTCGTCGCGCCACTGTCCATCGGGGGATGAAATGCCAAGAATGTACGTGCCCCGTAACGCGCGCAGGGTCGGCAGATTTGCAAGAAACCACCCCCAGGCAAACATTTCGTCGCCCTGCCGACAAAAAAGCGCAACTATTCTTTGAGATGATTCCGGGAATATATAGATTTATATGGGCCGTAAGATTCATTCGATAATGGACTTACGCTTTTATGTCACAGGAGTAACGGTTCCATTGGGCGCGTACTGTGAGCGTGGCATTGCTGCGCTTCGAGGGTGCGTCTTATTAAATTCAACCTCCCCCCCCCCCTCCGAAGGATGAATTAAATGCGTCCCCGGGGATGGTTGACAGTTGAGGTAACCGAAAGGTTGATTGAGGATTCGACCTTCGGAGCAACTGAATGCGGGGTATTGAGTTTTGATCCGATCCGGCGGGTCGGTCATTGACCCCAATTTCAGTTGGATTGCATTTTGCAATGAGGGACCACTATCTCTGGCTCTTCATTAAAAGCACCTATTTGCACGGGGAAAGCAATAGTAGCATACATGTTGTTTCTAAAATGAACCCGAAATAGTGGTTCCTTATTGCAAAATGCGGTCTAATCAGTGAAAAGTTCGGAACGGGAGAGCGACTATGATAAAAGCTGGACTTCAATCAGAATCAACCGAACTGCACCTCACGTTGTTGGATTTTCTCTCGTGGATAAATTTTTATAAACAAATGACCCAACTACTCAACGCCTTATAATTTACTCTGAATTTACCCTAAATTCTGGAAAATATACCCAAGAAAGTTGAAGTTTCAGTCTTCCTTAGCTGTCTGTTTAAACAATAAAATAGCACAAAAATTTGGCCACCCTTTGCAATCAGGAACTACAATTTCTGGCTTGGTAAATAACATACGTGTCATTAGTTTCCCACGCAAACGTATGTTTTTATTTATGAGCCAGAAATTGTAGTTCTTAATTGTAAACTGAAGTGAAATTAGTCTACGTTACGCTTTGTCCGGTTCGCTCCATCCAACTTCAAATGAAAAACAAGCAGGAAAGCTCTAAATTGGTTGCGCCTGAGAAAATATTTGTGTTCTTGTGTTACCATCGGTTATTATAGGATGTGAAACACAGACTAACATAAAGTTGGTGTCTATTCAGGTACAGTTTTTTATTTAAAGATTGGAGCTTTTTGGTTTTTTGGTCGAAAGTTTGACAGTGGAGCTTTTGAAACGCCGCAATCGAAAATTTCTTTCTGCCGACTTCACCATCGATTTGTATTTTGACAGCCCCGTCAATTTTCCCCACGCCAGAACGCTCGGCAAGTTACAGACCAACACTTTTTTTTGTCAAAGGAGTTTCGAGGACCGCCAGTCCAGAAATCCCCCAAAGCTCAGATTCGCGCAGAGGAGGCCTCTCAGATCGTTTGAACCCGTCGAGCTCTCCACTAGCCCCACGAACGAAGAGAGCTCTCCGTCGAATCGTCGCATTCCTGACAAAAGGGCGTTACAACCTCTCGAGATGACCCCTGTTGTCAATACAACCCCATACTTTCTGTGGCTCATCTCAAAGTATACTTACGCCTCTCTGTCGTCCGAGCGACGGAATGCCCATCGGGGCCGGCCACTTATCATCCAGATCGCTCTCCGCCTCGGTGGAAAACTGAGACACTCGTTAGCGATGATTCGCAAACAGAGGAGGCAGAAACCGCGTAAGTCCAACGTGAAGTACGTTCGGATATGCGGTTTTGGCGCGGTGCGGAGTGTTTCTCTCTCGCCAGTGGCGGGGAGATCGCTCGAGATGTCGCTCAACAATCCGAGAAGTGTCTGGACGTTGAAAATGACGTACTTAGAGCGTCGGGCGTCCCACTCGCCCATTTCCATTTTCCGCGGGATCGGAAGCGGTGCCTTTCAATGTCCGCGTCTCGCAGCGGGACAAATGCCCGACGTCTCGCCGTCCGCCGTCCCCAAATCGCAGCGTATTTTCGCCCTCCCGTGTCCGGAAAACGCGAAAGTTCGGAGGAATCCAAGGTGGACCGAGATAAATGCTCACCTTGATTTTCGATACTAGAATTCATTGTTTCATTTGGTCCGAGTTCATCAGAAAGGAATCAATCCACACTAAGTTGAAAGTGAGAAAAAGAGGTTCGAAGTTTTATTCCTGCATAAGGCTCACTGGAAAAAAAAAAAAAAAAAACACATTGGATCTAGAGTCCAGACTCTTAAAAACATCGACAAGAAAAAGTACTCTTGATTCAATCAGAATCTAGCTTAAATCAAGAACCATGCCTCTTAATTTAAGCGGATTTCGTTTTGATTCAAGCGAAAATCCGATTGAATCAAGAATATTTTTTCTTGTCAATCTTTTCAAGAGTCTGGATTCTAGATCCAATTTGTTTTTTCCAGTGCAGAATTCATTGTTCGATTTGAGAGGCTTGGAGGACAAGTCGTGTAAGTGCAGACTTTGATATTCCGTGAAATATGTGTTCGAAGTTTCGAAATCGCATGGATTCTTATGGCGGAAAGAAAGTTCAAACTAACTTTTTGATACTTAGAAATTGGAATTTTGGGAGCGAATTGTTTACAGAATGTGCGTGTGCATTAAGACTAGTTTGACTTAAAATCATTAATGTCTCTTAAGTTTTTCGAAAACTGCACTTGGTTTCAAAAAGTGGCACAAGTCTTAAATGGAGATACGCACATGCTCACGCATTTTAGCAATTGATATGTTAACATTTTTTTTGTTACCTGTTGTATCTTCTCCATAAAGTTTGATTATTCACTTAAAAATATCTTCTCATCTGCTCTTCACTTCATATGACTCCAATAAATATTTTTTCTCCAATTAAAAGAAAAAATGCGTTACTCACTTCCGCGATTGCGTCGGGTGCTTACGTTATAAGAACTCACCGTGAGAGGTGTTCAGATTCAATCTGGCAGTAACGAGCGAACGCAGGTCGGATTTTCTCGCACGGTTGCTAGTTCGACATGGAATGAATTAAATTCCTTATGAAACCAGGCTATTTTCCAAAGACGTCGAGCCCGACTTGGCAGCGCGGGGAAACGCCGTGCGTGGTAAGTAGCGCGGGAAGCGTCCCTTTTAAGTGACACTACACCGTTCCGGAACCGGGCTTCGGGCTCGGAGTGGATCATTTTCGCCCTCGAGGCGGCGGCGGGGGCGGCGTTTGAAATGTTGCCGCAATTTTCGAACCCAAAGACGGGACCCCTTCCGCGCTAAGGAACAACGCCTTATGAACATTCAAGCGTTGCCAAAGTTCCCCGGATAAAACATCTATTTTTGAGGAAAGTTATGTGTATTTTTCATTGAAATTTTCAGACTTTTCAGATTAGATTGCGAATAAAATTATCGCCAGATTTTGAAGATATATATTCAAAATTTTGCCAGTAAATTGGTATTTTGTTCATGGAAATATGGCAACGCCTGATGGGACATACTGCGTTTTTTCTTAGCACGGCAGAGCGGATCGCGGGACCCTTCAATTATTCAAAGAGTTCGCTCAGCTCCATCATCGCGACCTATCGACGTAACGCCCGCCAAGACAGATGTTTATTTGCCTCGATGGGGTCCCTTCGAACTGGGGATTTTCTGTTCAACTGGAGGCTCTCCGGCTGAATTTGTCGTTTTCCGGACGGAGGCACCATAGCCCTTTAATACCCAGCGTAGCGCAATGTGGAATGCGATTTTACCTCAAAACTTTAGTCAATGTGTCAATTTGACTTAATTTTGTCGATATTGATCGTAGGACAAACATTTCGAGAACACGGCTCCAAATTTCAGGCTTCATGAGTGTTACAAATGGAATGAGAGAGCGAATGTAAAGAAAAAATCACTGGAAAAAAAAAAACAAAAACAAAAACACACACACATTGGATCTAGAGTCCAGACTCATGAAAACATTGATGAGAAAAAATAGTCTTGATTCAATCAGATTTAAGCTCAAATCAAAAGGAAATCTGCTCAAATGAAGAGGCTTGGTTCTTGATTTAAGCTTAAATTTGATTGAATCAAGAGTATTTTTTCTTGTCGATGTTTTTAAGAGTCTGGGCTCTAGATCCAATGTTTTTTTTTTTTTTTTTTTTTTTTTTTTTTTTCCAGTGATCCGGGAATGAGTTGAACGAAGATTACGAAAAATGTTACTAAATTTTAATGTCTCTGCCCGGTAGTGTCATCCAGGACCTTAGATTGCGCAACTCTAGGTATACAAGGACTTAAGAAGGAACTTAAATCTTCTGGAAGGTTGAAAAATTCACTCAAACAATTCAATTTTTCACAGAAATACGACTGTGCGATTTATTTATTAAAGTGTTGCCGACATTTGTGTGCAATAAGGAGAAAAATTGGCGAAATTTTTGGTTACAGGTGCACACATTCCTCTGTGCAAAATATTACTTCGAAGGGGAAATATTGCAACGTAGAAATGTAGTTATATTTCTCCTCATGGTAAACGAGAGATTTGGTCAGAGGCATTTTTGGAGCACAATCTCATGAATTTTATAATTATGACATTTTGTGATTTTTCTTTCGTTTTTTTGAAACTCTCTTTACTTGACTCATGGGGCATTGAAACGTTTGAGATGGAAAAAACTCAATTTTGAAGCATTGGACCATTGATGGAATTGAGAAATAAGTTATGATATTCCCAAAAAACAATTCCTAACATTTTTGCTGCTCTGCCAAAAATGAGTGTGTCATCTCAGGTTTATTTACACTCTTTTATTTTTTCTTCATATTAATCGGAGTGTATTTATGTTTCAGGTGCAAGGTTTTAGAAAAAACAACGTATGAATAATCAGCCCATTCTCTGTAAGTACCGTCATACCTTTAGTTTTGCTGATTAAAAGCACACTTTGTTTTCTATCGGAATGATTTATTTCTTTTAATTTCTATTATTCGCACCAGCCATATGATTCACGCATAAAATCTATGTATTGTACGTTTATTGCCATTTAAAATTAAGGGACCTCCCAAATCCTCCATTTCTCGATTTCCAATTTTAGAATACGGCGATGTAACTCTTCTCGCTGCAAATAGAGTGAGATTAGAATCTCTTTGGTTCGTTACCAGTCTTCTTGCTAGCCGTCAACCTTCTTCGTATTTCAAAATAATCGATATAATTATGATCTCGAAAGTTTTCTAGAATTTGATGGTGTTTTCGGAACATTTTATGCTTTTGTTTTTGTTCATTGTCTGCAAATTTTGAGATCCTCGGAAATTTGTGTCGATAATTGTGGAAAAATCAACGAGCCTAAAGCTTTTCTAGAGTTTCTGATGAAAAAAAAACTGAAAAGAAAATTACGTTGAATGTCGATGAATGTCGCTTTTTTGGCTAGTAGGAAGCTCGAATTTTTACACGCAAATACCGTCAATTCTTCACTTTCGAGCTACTATCAGATACTTCCACTGCTCTTCCAAATGCTACGTGAAACTTTGACCAAAATACACCTGCTCCCTGGTTCCTAACCTTGTCCAAGCGGTCCATTCAAACCATTGATTACACAGAAGCCCTACCTCACCGCAAAATCCCTACCCCAACCGGGCCGCGAGTTGCGCTGGACCGTGTTCGCTGGCAGTTTTTTACGGTTGCGGCGACCGGTCGGACGGGGGGAGAGGGAGGGTAGTCTCGGAGGTAATTCGAAGTTGTTAGCGGATCGTTCGCCTACTTTAAATGCTGTCTGCGTCCACCCTCTTCAGGGCCGACAAGCAGTTAGGCGACTATTTCCGTTTCCGCCCCCAAGGGGCAAACACCCTCCGAATCGGGGAGCGTGCGCTGCCGTTTGATTGATAACCGCCCAAACAACCGCTCGGTGATCCCGCCCTCTGATTCCTCATCCCTCCGGGCCGCGGGATGCCATGGTAGCACGAATTACTCACCTGAGGTTTGCTCTTTTTCCTTCGGAGATCAGGCCGTCCATGGCCCTACGCCTGAAGCAAGTGGAACGCGAAGCAGTTTCACACATCCAGAAAAACATTGAGAACTCTTTTTGGTAATAAGGCATATGTGGCTGTCAATGCTGCTACACGGAGAAAAAAACTTTGTGGGTGGGACCCGAAGTTTAGGTCATATGGATCTCTGAAGTTTTCGGATTGAACATCTGAACAATTTAGATCTAGCTGTCGAGGTTCGGATCACACATCTGAAACTTCAGTTCTTACATCTGAAGTACTTCGGTTTTCACATCCGAAAAACTTCGGTTCTCACATCTGAAGTACTTCAGATGTAGGAACTGAAGTTTCAGATGTGTGATCCGAACCTCGACAGCTAGATCTAAAGTGTTCGGATGCTTAATCTAAAAACTACAGAGATCCGTATGACCTAAACTTCGGGTCCCACACACGAAGTTTTTTTCTCCGTGTAAAATTGTGATACACAGTTCTTTGATTACGAGTAGTTCATCCGAAAGTTCTGCTACGAATCTCTCCCCTTGAATTCAATTCGAATTTTTTCTCACTTCTGTGTGGGAGTAAGTCGACCGCAAGCAAATTTTATTTGCTACAAATTATATAAAAAATTGCTCGATTTGCAGCATCGCAAACTACTTACGCTTTCTTACCAAAGAAGTCCTCAAATCAAAGCGTGGTCCTTGGATTTAAATAAATGATTGTTGTAGAACGAGTGAACCTCATGTATCAAGATTCCCCGGAATACAGTCCGTTTGATCCTTTTTTATTTCAGTGCGTGTACAAAATGAGGGCTGCCATACAAATTTTACAATTTCGCAATTTTATCAAATTTTCAGATTCTTATTGATGTTGCTTTATTGCACAATTCTGCAACATTTCCTAAAATTCATGATTTAGACTCTACTTTAGACTCTTGGCCATCTCCTTACAAACTTTCTCGAAGTTAACAAATTGATTTTATTTCAAAGCTTTAAATAACTCGCACCCACTGCAGAGACAGTATAATTTTCATATTTTTACTTGATATAAATTTACAGGCTTATGTTTTCAGATAGCAAAGTAACGTCAGATAAAATGGATCGTTGCAAATGCATATTTTCCCGCAGAGGCTTTTCCCCCTTTTCAATAGCTCCCTCGCTGGACTATGTCTCTGTAAGAGCACTGGGATTCTCCGAACAGCCAAGATGGATAGATATGTCGAAAGCCAACCTCTCAGCCCATTTTTATAAACCGTTCCTTATTCCTTCTCGAGAATTCTCCTCGATTCGCAATCTCGTCGGCCTCTGACCATGTTCCGGTCGTATTCCGACTTAATTTCCGCCCTGCCTGCAAAATAACCCCCTCGCTTTCCCCTCTCGCGTCGATAGACGCCCTAGTTCTAAAAGTAGGAAGTTGTCTTATTTTAGTTGCCGCTTTTCCTGAAACCCCCCCCCCCCAAAAATGGAGTTTATTATATTTCCATCGTATGAGTGTATTTTAAATCATTTCTGAAATTAATGCTTATAAGGACTTCATTCAAAAACTGCGATTTTTAATCACGGCTCTTTGAAAAATTTGGCAACATCAAATTATCCATAAACGGCCTTTTTCTTAGCAGCTGTCTGCAAAGTATTGAAAGAGATGAAAAGCTGAGAAAGTTCTATCAATCGAAAGTGTAGAAATAGTGTGCACCAATTCGAGATTGGAGCGCCTTCAATTCGAGTGATACTTCCAGCGCAGTCGGAGAGTTAGTTTAGTTGCGTGACCTAACTTAAACCAACCTGACTCAATTGCGATCGGTTCCTCAGCATTGTGACGGATCAGAATCATTAAACTTGGGCATATTAAATCCACTGAAGTAACTTTTTGATTGTAGTATTATTTTGAAAATGTTTCGTAAATTCAACCCGTACAACTGAATTTCTAAAACCATTATAATAAATATAATTATATGTAAATATAATTGTATACGTTCACAGGCTAAATATGTGAATCAATGAAATCCCGTTTAAAAGGTACAAATTGCCATACAACACTCAAAATACACTGCGTGTACTCAACATCATTCGTTATAATATTCTAGTTTTGAGTTTAATGAGCATATTCATTGATCTCACGTAATTGTTCTTGGATGTAACAAAAGTTTCTTTTTGTCACAAAGCTCGGAGAGAAAACAGTTCAGTTCTTACTTAACACTGAAGTTCGTGATCCCAAAAACGGAATTTCGGCTCAGCTAATAGAAAAACCGAGAAACCTCGGTGTGTTCAGACTGAACTGAAGTTCAGTGTTTTTTATAACGTTTCTTCTCAACAAGAGCATCTTTGTTTTTCCTTTTCTCGCGAAAACGTCAGTCACTGGTACTCGGTTTTATCAGCAAAGCCCTCCGCAAGTAACGTTTTTTCTGTGTTTTGATTGCGTTGTCATGACAACGGATTGAATAAATAAACTTCAAAGAGTCGACGAAAGAATAAGATAAGCGGAGGAATAACCTGTCCCTGACCCCTTGACCCGTTCTCGGCGGTTTACTTCTCGGGGTCCCGACGTTTGTGGTTTGAGGTATCGATTCGTTGCAGGAAGTTTGTCTATGTAAAGCGAACATATCGTTAGTCGGATTGTGTGAAATGCGGCCTCAATTCATGGAGACAAAAAACTTGAGTGTCGCCGCTGATTTCGGTTATTATGACACCAACATTTTCGACACAGGTGATCGAGATTTTTGATAATAGACAACAAACTCCGGTTGAAGTATTCGAAGTTTTTGATGTTATACATCATATAAGAGCCTAAAAAAAGATTGGTTGGTGCCGCATGAACTTCAGTGTTTTCCTCCGTACACCACCAAAGTGAAGTCCGATCCATCTTTAAAAAAAGAAGTTTTCTTTGATTTATTCATCATAGCCAGATAGATGTTTCTTTTTTGTCCCCGCCTGAAAAAAAAGAACCATAATCCACGGAGACAAAATTCTCTTGGAAGATATTTTTGCCAATTTGAGTCATAAAATAGAATTTTGTAATTTCGATCGAAAATTTCCTAAAAAGTAATTGCGAACGGTTCAGTTTATGTTCGCGCCATTTATTTACGTGTTCGCGTGTTTGAGCTCTATAAGGCGGAAATTTCGTCTCCGGTCCATCGCAGAAAGAAATTTTCAATAGATTTTTCTCAACTTTAATTATTTAAAGTACGAACTCCAAAGGACCATAATTCCGGTTTGATTTAACACTTATGTGGTGTTTTGTTTTTCGACTCCCAAATGTCCGTAGAACGCTCCCGTTTGCCCTAACTCCATCAATAACACCAGTGGCGTGGCGTGAATTGCGATGTATCGATTGTTCTGCCATTTAAACCTATGGTGAAGAATCGATTATTAAGGTGTTCGCTGCGAACACCCTGTTTATCGATCTTTTTCCATAGGTTTAAATGACAGAACAATCGATATATAGCAAAGCACGCCACGCCACTGAATAACACCATATTGAATTTTTGCGGAATCTCTGGGTCTCTCGTTCACTTTTACATTTCATGACGTCAATTTTTTCCTCAACAACTTCTCACCACAGAGTAAAATGCATCGGGTCTCGACAACCTGTACTCGCGAAATCATCCACGCTTTGAATCTAGGCTGACAAGCACTCGTAGAAGCCGCAACTCCTCGAGGTGCGAAAAAAACGAATGTGCGATGTGTTTCCAACAGGAAAATCGGTTTTTTCGCTCGAAAAAAGTCTCAAACGCAGACGCAGCGTCGAAAATGATGAGCATCAGTATTTCTGCCACTCGCGCGCGTGTTTTGCACTCTTACGCGAGTCCATGAAGACGTCTTCCGCGTCTTATCAGATCCGAGTGGAATAGGGTGCACCCTGGGCTTCAAAAACAACGTATGTGCAATGTAATTTGAATTGGAGATTTGTTGTTTTGATAAGAAAGG